TGGTTCTTCACAAGATTCCCTCCTCATGTAGGTATATTTCAGAGACGATGCCTCAATCAGCCTGGATCCCTAAAGGACTCCAATCTACAGAGCCTCCCACTGACCAGAAAGTGTGTTAAATTACTGAGATTTTGTGGTTGTTACCTCAACCTAACCTACTCTATCCTGTCTATGAAATGCAGATTTCTGGCACAATAGCATTTAGAATCCTAAGCAGATGCATACGAAATCATCCTTCTACTTCCCAAGGGTATACACATAATCAAACTAACAGGTGGAATTATAAAACCATATAAACACCTTAGAATGGTTGAGTGGGTGACTAAAACAAAAGGAAATGGAGAGAAAAGGAATGAGCATAAAGGGGAAAAGAAAAGGAAAAGACGTAAAAAGTTTGATTAAACCCATTGTGCAAATATTAGAAATTTCATTCACTCATTGATTCAACAAACATCTATGGACCTATTATGTGCCAGGAACTATTTTGGGTGTACTTACAGAGCGGTGAGTCAAAAAAAGGCAGTGCTGTGCTTAAAGTTTATAGTGTACAGGAGAGACAAATGTTAAGAACACCCCAGTAAAAAATTACAATGATCAAGTCTTATTAAAAGCTCAGGTGAGTGCCAGGCACAGCAGTGGCCACCTGTAGTCCCAGCTACTCAAGAGGCTGAGGTGGGAGCATCACTGGAGTCCAGGAGTTCAAGAACCAGTCTGGGCAACATAGTGAGACCCCCCGTATCAAAAAAAAAAAAAAAAAAAAAAAGCTCAGGTGACATGACAAAGAGGGACCACTTAGGCAAATAGGTGAAGACTGCTTCCTGCCTACCTAGGGAAGGAGGGGTGATTCATTCCAGGCAAAGGGAACAGCATGTACAGAGGCCTGCAGTGAGTATGGACCACCCTATAGAGGAAGTGAAAGAGGACTAGAGTGGTGGAAGAAAGGAGTGGCAGGAAATGTGGTCAAAGAGACTGGTAGGAGGGGGCAGTGGGAACAACAGGCAGATCACTTAGTCTCATAGTGTAATATAAGGAGTTTAGATTTTGTATAACTGCAATAGAACCAGAAAAACATTTTAAACAGAGGAATAATATTATTTTATTCTAACACTTAAGACCCTAGTAATATGCTCACATGTTTTTGCAAAATATGCAAAAGAAAGCTATTTTTGCATGATTTTTCTTTGAGGACCCCTACAACTTCAGGTCCCATATTACCCAACTCCATCTCTGAGTTGGGTAAGGGCTATGTTAGAGGTAAGCAAAAGATGCCAAGTGAAAAGCAACCTTGCCAATTTGGTACCAAGAGTTATTTACTGTCAAAATGGATTTTCTTCTTCTTTAGTTCACGTTGTCTGATAACATTCAAAATTGTGCCCTGGTCTAATCACAGAAATCATGAAAGCAACGGAATTCTTTCTGCTGGTAGCCCAAGATAGGGGACATTTTGCTTGAGAAACACTGTCAGAAGTGAAAGATGAAGATGTGTAAAGCTTTCCCTCTCATTCGTGCTACGAAATATAGGGAAACAGTCCCTGTTTATCTGGGGCAGTCTACACAAAGATGCCTCCTATTGTAACACAGCAATGAGTCAGAGGTAGATGCAGATGGTACAAAAAACTAAACTAGGGAGAGGTGATTGTCCAGAAGCAAAGGTATCTTAACACACAATCCACCACCATGAATGAAAATCACCTTCCAGTTTCCTTCAGTCCAACACTTAGGCAGTAACAAAGGCACCAGCAGCCAACAGCTTTGGAAGGTTTACTATGTACTACCTCATTTAATCTTCACAGCTATGCTAAGTAGATTCTATTAGCCCCATTTTTGCAGATGAAAAAACTAAACCTAAGCCTTAGACTAAAAGACTTGAAGTAGGTCACAAAACCACAACAGAGGCCAGGCTGTAATCCCAAAACTTTGGGAGGCTGAGGTGGGAGGATCACCAGGTTAGGAGTTTGAGACCAGCCTGAGCAACATGGTAAAATCCTGTCTCTATTAAAATACAAAAATTAGCAGGGTAGGGTGGCGCGTGCCTGCAGTCCCAGTTACTCAGGAGGCTGAAACAGGAGAATTGCTTGAACCCAGGAGGTGGAGGTTGCGGTGAGCCAAGATCGCACCACTGCACTCTGGCCTGGGTAACAGAGAGAGACTCTGTCAAAAAAAAAAAACAAACAAACAAAAACCCACAACAGAGCTAGGCTTCAAACTTAGCCTGACTCCAGAGCCCCTATCTTTTAACCACTGTTTAGACCCTCCCAGTCCCATCCAAATTTTTCTGCCACCAAATCTGGGGTAGTTTCTTCTCATCCTGCTTTTACTGTTTTAATGAAATCCCTCTTCCTTGAGAGAATACAGTTGTGGTGTCACAGTTACAACAGAATAACAGGTACTTCTACTCAGTATCCACTTCCAATCAAATAGGAAAGGATAATCAGGCCACAACATTCAGCCAGAATCCACTGTGGTCAAAACTTGTCCTAACAACAGTCAGGACTTTCAGTCTATTTTAAGAGGGTGAAACACTGTACACTAAAACTGAACAAATGGGCCGGGCACGGTGGCTCACGCCTATAATCCAGCACTTTCGGAGGCCGAGGCAGGCAGATCACCTGAGGCTGGGAGTTTGCCACCAGCCTGAATGACCTGGAGAAACCCAGTCTCTACTAAAAATACAAAATGAGCCGGGCGTGGTGGCTACTCAGGAGGCTGAGGCAGGATAATCGCTTGAACCTGGAAGGCGAAGGTTGCAGTGAGCTGAGATCGCACCACTGCACTCCAGCCTGGGCAACAAGAGTGAAACTCCGACTCAAAAAAAAAAAAAAAAATGTTTGCAATGCAATAATGCAATCCAACTACCTATACAAGTCAGTATCATGCAAAATAGACCCCACAGGATTGACAGGGGACTAAAGAAGAGAGTCGGCTGGGAGCAGGTCTGAAGAACACAGTTGAACACACACCATGGGTCCACCATCGACCTTGTGATCATTACAGGGATGGAACAAGTCATCAAGCCAACAGGACCCCAGGTTATTAAAATCTAGAGAAAGCTGGCTGGGCAGAGTGGCTCATGCCTGTAATCCCGCACTTTGGGAGGATCGCTAGAGCCCAGGAGTTCAAGAACAGCCTAAGCAATATAGCAAGACCCTATCTGTATAAAATTTTAAAAAATAAAATTTTCTAAAAATCTAGAGAAAGGAAGGGAGGTTACAGAAATCACCAAAGAGCAGAAGGTCCAAGCCTACCCTGATTTCATCAGTTAGCTTCCTAAAGCCTGCAGTGTGCAGGTAAAAAAGAGATTAAGAACCTAATCTTTACTGAAGGTTGGGCAAACAACAACTAAAAAAAGGCAAATAATAATAATAATAACCTAATCTTTTCTGGCTATTTCTCTAGCTAGCCAAGCAGCTTTCCCTCACATAGTCTTGTACCTTACCTAGAACCCAAGAGAGTTGTAGGAACTCAGAAATCCCCAGGAAACAGCCTCAAGATTATTTCATGAAATAAAGTGCTCGTTTGTGTGCAACGCTGGAAGCTGCAGAGATGGAGCACCTAGCATGTGGTTTCTAGGTCATGGTGTTCATGCCTCAGGTCAGGAGTTTAGGGGCTCCTAGTCAAGTACGGAAAGCTAGGAAATCATTAGTGAGAAAATGGTTTGTTCAATGAATGAATGAATGAATGAATGAAGAGTCGGATGAAAAAGAAAGCCGCTTTCTTGAGCAATTTCCCAGGAAAGCCAAGAACCGGGAACCTCCAAAGTCGGCAAGGAAAAGCCACGAAGTCCACACGGACTTCCAGCACGCCCCCGCTGGCCAGGCAGTTGACCTGCAACAAGGCACTCAGACCCCACAGGTGTCAGGCATGAAGGTGAGGATGATGCTCCACACTTAATACCCTGAGCCGGTCTCAAAAGCACGGATGCGATCTTAATTCTTTCCAAAACAGCCTCCTCTCCCCATTACAGGCCAGACTCCCAGAGGATCACATTTAGAACAGAGCTAGGGGGAGGCAGGGGAGACGTGCTAGCTTTTATTTTCTTGGGAGAAGACTGCACAGTGGCCAGGAACCACTGAAACGGTCGGGAAAAGGGGTGCAGAGGGGAATCGAGACCCGCGGGATCCGCTAACTGGTCTGAGTCAGAAGCACAATCAGTGCTTAGTCACCGATACCTCGGCGGCCGGGAGTTCCTCGCCCCCTGCCAGTCCCAGACGTACGTGACAAACCAGAGCGGAGCCTGGCGCGCGCTCCTGCTCCCCGGCCCGGGCCTCCCCAGCCGGGCCCCGAGGTTCACCGCCCGCCCCATACTTACTCCGCAGAGCTGGTCCCGTTAACCGCGGAGCCGTCGGGGGCCGGGTTCAGCTGGATGGGCGTCGGCTTCTTCTTGGGCATTTTGGACCTGGGAAAGGCGCTTCCAACTCCGGGGGGAGGGCAGCACCTCTCGCTTCCTCCCACTGCGCTGCCCCGCGCCCGCTGCGCAGGACCAGGTCCGGGCCGCTAACCCCGGAGCTGCCCTCAGAGGGTGCGCCCCGCGCGGTCCCGTCAGCGCCGAGGGGCCGGTAGCGGTCTCAGTGGACCCCCGCCCCACCCGCCCGGGACTCGGCTCCGCGCGCAGAGAGCCGAAGGGCTGCCCTGCAGGAGCGGAGCGGGCTGAATGTGCGATTCGGCAGCCCGGGATTCCCTCCCGCTCTCCCAACCAACCAGTCCCTCCGGCTCGGGCGGCCCAGCCGCGCGTGCACCAGAGCCCAGCTCCAGCTCCTGCGGGAGAAAGTGCCGCCGCCGCCGCCGTGCTCCTAGCAGCTTGGCGAAGCGGCCCTGGGAGGGACTGGAGGCCGGGGGAGGGGCGGGGAAGGGGAAGCCTCGCCCCCCACCCGGGATGCGGCGCTTTCCACACTCCCACTCGGCTCCGCCCCTATTGCCTCGCAGACAACCAATGGGGGCAAGCCTCGGCGGCAGATGACGCGGAAATACGTCACGGGAGCGCGGCGCGCTGCCCTGGGGGCGGGGTCCGTTGCGGGCTCCACGGCGCCCTCTATCGCCCCAAGGCTCGCAGGTGGACCCAGCAGGGAAGAGGTCTATGTCGCTGCGTGGTGAGCTCCTCCAGGCCAGGTGCTGCGCGGCCTCCACCTCTGCGGTAACTGGCCTGCCCCCGACCCCTGTCCCCAAGCCGAGTCGTGTTGATGGAAATGAAATAACAAAATAAATAAGGCAAAGGAACCCTTCCTGTGTTCAGAGGAGAGGCAGCGTGGGGGATAGGAAACTTGTCGAGAGACTCCTTTGAGCCCAACAAACTGTCACATATATATTTTGTTTGTTTGTTTGTTTAATAGTAATACTACTGAGAAGGGTGCAAGGAAGTGGATACTTAGTGCTGATGAGATTGTATATTGTTGCAACAGTTTTTGAGAGCAGGTTGATT